CCCCCCCCCCCCCCCCCCCACCAAACAAAAAAAAAAAGCGAAAAAAAATCATTTCATGTTGTCATGAGGTTCAGCTTGCATTCTTGGAGTCTGGGGACAGGAGGACAATAAATGACACTGGTATTTAAGTTCTAGCTTTCAATTATCAACTTGAGAAGAATTTCAGATATGTTTTTTTTTGAAAGATATTAGTCCGTTAAATCATTAGTAATTTGATATTGAAATATTAGTCCCCCAAATCTTCATAATTTGATATTAAAACTGCAGGGAAATATTCTGTTTTGTTAACCATTTTCTTTAATGGACAATTATACCCTTAAGTTAACAAACCCAAGCCAGAACAACTAAACCTTAACTCTAGACAGGTTTTCAAGGTGTTGGTGCTTTCTGGTTTTGCTTGGTTAGTGGGGTTGCATTTTTATCAGTTCTCTCTCTAAAAAGATTAGGACAAAGTTTCGTTTTAGACCTCTTTAAAAAAATATTTGTAAAAATCGACTTATTTCGTAAATATTTGCTAATTTCGACTTAGTTTCAGTCAGTTGGTTAAAACTGGATCGAAATTGACGAAAAATATTCAAAAATTTTATAGGATTTCAAATCCCATAAAATTTAAGCTATTTGTTAACTAGTTGATTAAGCGGCCGAAATCCCATGGAGCTCAAACAACTTCACGGGATTTCAAATCCCGTTAAGTTTGGAGGCCTCGGTCCATACAACATCACTAATAAAATCAATCGATATATGAAGTTTGCAGGCCTCAGACCGTCAACTGGGTGGGCCACATGCCCGCCGTCATCCCCGAAGGCCTCAACAAACAGCCCCTCCACCTCATCACCTCCCTCGGCTTCAACTGCGTCCGCCTCACCTGGGCCACGTAACAAACAGCCCCTCCACCTCATCACCTCCCTCGGCTTCAACTGCGTCCGCCTCACCTGGGCCACGTACCTCTGGACCGACGACCGCAGCTACGAGACCCTGACGGTCGAAATGTCCTTAAAATCTCTAGGGCTCGACGAGACGCTGAGGGGCGTCGAGAGGAACAACCGGGCGATGGTGGGGCTGAGGGTGAGGGAGGTTTATGAGAGGGTGGTGAGGGGGTTGGGGGAGGCGAGGGTGAATGGTGGTGCTGGACAATCACGTGAGCAGGCCGCAGCGGTGCTGTGGGAGGGAGGACGGCAATGGCTGTTGGGAAAAATAGTTGCTGTTTAGACCGAAATAAGCACAAAAATATTAGCTTTAAACAGTTAATAAAAATGTGATAATGTCGGATTAATATTATAACTCGAAAATAAAATTAATTTAAAAGAAAATAAATTAAGTTTAGAAATACGACCCGATGATCGAAGCGTGCAAGACGCTGTCTTAAGAATCTAATTGCCCCCTTTCGTATAGGGCTACGCGACAATAGATCTCGGAGATACGACGACCCTCGGTTAGGCGACATCTTTCTCGTCGGCACGAGCTTTAAAAAAGCTTTGCGAAATCTTTAAAACTTTCAGAGAACCAGCAATGTAACAGCAGGGTGATATTTTTTTTCTCGAAAAGAGGAGAAGAAGAGATCTGTTGTAAAAACCGTGTATTCAAACCCTCACAGCTATAGATCATTTTATAGGTTAGAAACCGTCGTTTAGATCCATAATAATCGCCCGTTTAGATCCACCAATCTCGCGTCCGTTTAGATCCACAAATCTCGCAGCTAAATGTTTAACTCGTTTTAATTGTTCTAATTTGTAAAAATAAAAATTTAAAATGTAGCAGGTTATCCCCTCAATCCGGAGCTGCATTTGTGTCCCACAGGTCGTGGGCGCGCGCGCCTCCTGATCCGAGCACGCGTGTGTGGTGTGGAGCATAACCCATGTTTTCTTCTAGGCATTGGAGAGAAGGGGAAGGCTTATAAACAACCCTCATTCCCATCTCCTATCCAATGTGGGACTAAACTTCCCCACGCCAAAATCAAGTTTTAAGTTATTAACTCTAACAATGTCTTCTTGGGGGATCTGTACTTTGATGAGGATGAGTGGGTTTAGGGGACTGGAGATTGTTGCCCACAGGTTCAAAGGGTTTCCTCAGGTTAGTAGTTCAAATTTTAGACCGTTATTTTTCAGTGGTGTTGTTTGGACTGAGGACTGCAAACTTCACAGGATTTGAAATTCCGTGAGGATTTTGGCCGCTGAATCAGGTAGTTAACAAATGGCTTAAACTTTACGGGATTTAAAATCAAATCCCGATCGCCAATTTCGGCCTAGTTTCAGCCACTGAAACTGGCTCAAAGTAGGTCGAAATTGACAAACATTTTCGAAATAGGTCGATTTTTACAAATATTTTTCTGAAGAGGTCTAAAATGAAAATTTGTCCTAAAGAAAACATGTTCTTCTTCCCTGGGGTAAAAGAGTAAGAAAAAAAAAGGTCCCACAAGAAGTCTATCTTCAACAATAGAACTACACAGAAGTCTAACCATAATTGAATAACAGTACAAGGGGACTATCAGCAATTAACCCTAATTTTACCCTAAAAATACCAACTTGATTTGAATCAGATATTACGATCAGTTCCACGTAGCTAGACTACCTGATTTAAACATAATTTAATGTTTTCTAATACGTCTAGGGATGCCCATGTTTAGGAATCAAATCTTACTAATATAAACTTCGTTGATAGCAAAAATGTGACATGTTCAATTTGAAGGTCATCCTCAATACCAGTGAGATTAAAGCTGCCGGCACAGGGAATCACTTCGAGAAGACGTTCGTACCCGTTCATAAGGAGAAAATCTACTGGAAAATTACAAAGGGAGCAGGTCAAACTCAAAGCGTTAAAATGGCACGCTTAAACTGTATCACATATAGGTGTAACAATAAAAAAACATCAATAACGACTAGTGATACAAGCGACTAATGATTGTCAATGTGACGTGGGCCAACCCACCACGTGAAGAGATCAAAAAGAAAACGCGTGAAGTTCAAAGCAAGTGGTCGCATGAGAACATGTGGGGGCCACGAATGTTGGCAGGCGTTGATTGAAGGCCCACCCGAACTGTAGCTATATATTGCTGCTATTTCCTAGGTTTTAAGCGTGCAAAGGAGGTTTCGTACAGGGCGCAAGGCAGAGTTAATTTGGCTGCGGGAGAAAAGGCTACAACAGGGAAAATTCCTAGGGTTTCGTGAAGAGAGAAAAGTATTTGGAGGCTGACATTTTCTTGTGAAGAAAAGCAAGGAGCCTATTTGAGGGTTTAAATTATGAGAGTTGTAAACTCATTTGTATTCTTTTTCTCTCTAATAGTAGATCCCCTCTCCTTGCCCCGTGAACGTAGGCACACTACCACATATTTGCTCTAACGCAACGGTTTAAAACTGTCGCATTAGCATCTAAACCGTTACAGTTGCACAAGCGCAGCGGTTAGCAAACTGTCTTCATTGCTGCCGTTGCCCTAGCCATAAGGCAGCGGTTGCAAAACCTAACGCAACGGTTTCTAAGACGAGGCTAACGCAACGGTTTTCACAAAATGCAACGTTTTCTGTAGCGGTTTACTTATGCCTAATGTAGCGGTTCCATACACAAAGGCAACAGTTATTGCAAATGCAACAGTTGCAAACAATGGTTTCTTGATACCTAATGTAGCGGTTTCATACACAAGGGCAGCGGTTTTTCCAAAATCAGGACCAAATGCAACATTTATTTTGTAGCTAATGCGACGTTTTGCTTTGCTATGGCAACAGTTTTATAGGGCTACGACAACAGTTTTACAAGGCTATATCAGCATTTTTCAAGAAATTTGACCAATAAGCAAACACAATTACGTAAACCAAAATAAAAATGGAATAAGAACACACTACATTAAGATACCATCAAAATGAAAAATAATGAAGCATTCATATGTTTTAAGCTCATCATTCAAAAATAAGTAGTTACAAGATAACTTCAACCCATCAAAATATGATCAATTCACAACCATCAAAATATGATCAATTCAAAAGTACAAGTTTGTTCCAAAAGATTCATATATCAAAGCCATCTTGTCCGCATTCTCCTATTTAAGTCTTTATATCCCCTACAAAAAATAAAGAAACGTATCAAATATCATGTTAGCAACAAACTTGAAAAGGTAATTTTTTTTAAACTAACCATTACAAGGAAAAAAAGCTCAAGTAACATTGGTAAATAAGGAGACAATTGATCCTCAGATGGCTACAGTTTCTCTCATTGGTAAATAAGGAGACAATTGATCCTCAGATGGCTACAGTTTCTCTTTTATATTAAAAAAGAGAGAGAAAATCACTCACCTACATCAAAACCTCTTCCATTTGAGCAAAATAGTGGCTACAGTTTCTTCAAAGTCCAAACCATGATCCTCAGATTCACAATTTACTGCAAAGATAAAATATTGTTTAAACATTTGAGTCTCTCTTTCAATGAGCTATTAACAGAAGAGCAAATAACACAAATGGTGTAGCAAAGAGAATAAACAGAAGGAGCATCAGAAAAAGGAAGAATCATAAATATTTTAAAGGAGCTTGTCTATACCTACTGAAGAATCAAAAATATTTTAAAGGAAGAATCACAAATAATTCTGGAAACAATCATGAGTAAGGTTTTCACGAGTAAGGTTCATATTTAAAGGAGAAAAAGGGAAAGCATTACATGGATATTCATACTGATCCTTTTTAGAATACTTCCTCTCTAGAAGGGTAAAATTTTAAAATCAGCATTGCTTAAGAGAAGCAAAAATGGACAAATCTATGGCTCCTCTACACTAATCAATCAAAGCAAGACAACATATACAAGAGGCCATTTCAATGCAAACATAATAACCAAATGCGTAAGATAATTCAGCATCATGTTAGTCGCTTATGCAGTAAATCCTAAACGTCAATTATTAGTTTTACACAAATAATGTTAAACTAATAAATGTACATATCAGCAGATTCAGCACTGTTGTGAAATTGTGCAGAAAAATATATCAAAGCTCAATCACCTACATTTATACGCAACAAAAAGGTAAACTGTAACAATCACCTACATTTCAATTCAAATAGTTTCAAAACTCAATCATATTTACTAACATAAACTTAATGCTAAATCAGGTAGGCAAAATTAAACAAGAATAAAAATATACGCAACAAAAAGGAGATTTACATATTTATATTTAAATAACTTGAGCTAGCTTGTTGAGTGTGGAGCACCACTGTTTTGAAGACTTCTAGCATGCAGAGAGTATTCAATCCATCTGCTCATTAATGAAAAACAATGAGACAGTACCTGTGGGCAAATTTGTTTTTTTATTTTTTATAGGCATTACTGATAATAACCTTATGAAACAAATATTCTAATCTCAGCTTCGAAAAGAAACTGCAGTCTATCAACAGCAAGGATGCAGAATTGCAAAGAAGGAGAAAAAGGAATACTTAGCTATGCAGCTTGTCAAAATCTGCATCATTTCACATAACAATATTAAATCTCTTTACATATTTATATTTCTCTCACTTTTTTATTAGATGAACCAGTTCCTCAAAGGTGATATTCTTGTCTTAAACATTCAAATGTTCATACTCCACAGATTATTTCTATGATTAGAATCGTTCAACCGCTTCTCATAATGAAAAGGTCCCAAGTAATAAAACTAGAAAGAAATATGTAAGCAACAGAATGTGCACATTGGTTTGATGTCAAGTGTAAAAGAAAAGGTGCTGGTGAGTTTCTTTACCAGCAATAGAATGTGCACATTGGTTTGATGATATTATCCCCTAAAGCTGTAGTATATATGTAAGCATCTGTCCATGATACCAGCAATAGAATGTGCTGGTGAGTTTCTTTACCAGCAAAAGAATTCTTCAGAAGTTATTATGCAAGCTAGCATGTTACCAAGAAATGAATAATATGAAGAGCTGTTTTATGTCCATGATGAACTAATATAGGATTTTTAAAAGGATTTACCTCAAATGATCTCTTCTCTTTTGAACTTGATCTAGAATCACCAACTGTTTCCATCACTCAAAGAGAAGTGATTAACTAGTAATAAATGAAAAGAATGAACAAGCTACATTCCAAGAGTTTTCATAGGGATGTCTGTGCCGTGCACGTGTCTTCGAGATCCCCAGTCTTTGCACCACTCCAATGCAAGCCAAAACGCAGTTCCCAACCCAAGCACAATGAGAACACCTGCATTCCAAGAGTTTTCATCAATGAAATCGAGTTTGTTATAAAGTTTATTGCAAACAGCCTAGGAATCATGCAATAACAAGGTGCACAATGCCAAAAAAAGGAGAGGCACAATGCCAAAAAAACAGAAATACACAGAAGAGGAAGAACTAAGCAGTAGTCGATTGTTATTGCATTTAAAACTTCAAATTACACGTAGTATGACATAATAAGATCATCTACTTAAAACTTCAAATTACACGCAGTATGCCGGAATAAGATCCTCTGCCATGGTCATAAAAAAACAGACATCAGCAGCAGTGAACTGAAAATAGCACTAGCGCGATAGTACCTTAACTAAAAGTACTTTAACTACGTCGCCTCTTCAAACACGGGTGCAGATGTCAAAATGAAAAGCAACTAAACAAACTAAAACCACCCCCAATAATACTTTACAAATAGAAATCCACAGGTGATGGAGAACAAAGTGTTAAGACAACTACTATTCTACTGTCATTACAAAATTAAACTTTTAATTAACACATAGTATCATATAATAAAACCCAAGTCATCCATCACGATCATCAAAATAAAATAAACTTTTAATTAACACATAGTATCATATAATAAAACCCAAGTCATCCATCACGATCATCAAAATAAAACTTTCAATTAACATATATTCCTGTCATCCATGACGATCATCAAGAATATGTAGCAGTAGCAGCTGCTAAGTAAACATGCCCATATATTCCTGTCATCCATGACGATCATCAAGAATATGTAGCAGTAGCAGCTGCTAAGTAAACATGCCACCTTTTCGAACATAGTACCGTAACTGAAAATACTCAAAGAAACTTAGAAAAGGAATTGTACCATGATACCTTAACAGAGAGTACTCAAATATGCCGTCTTTCTGAACATAAAGAATAAATCAAGCAAATTCCATTATCCAATTGCACCTATTCCATAATTCCCCTCAAAATAAAAATAAAACCAACTAAAGCAAACCACCACCACTCCCAATAATACTTGACAAACAGAAATACATGGGGACAGGGGCGAACAAACAATTAAAAGATTATTATTCCAGTCATAACAAAATAAAACTTTCAGACTGCAAGCATAGTCTCATATGTTAAAACCACGCAGTTAGCAAAGATCATCAACAACATGTTGGGAATTTAACGCCTAAACCCCTAATGCAACAGAAACGCAGTATAGAGAACAGTACACAAGATTTACGAGGTTCGGCAACTGCCTACGTCCTCGGGAGCCACACAGATAATTTTCTTATTAATCAAATAAGAAATTACAAATCAAGAGCAAATCCCTAAACTGAGATTTCTCAAATAAACACTGTTGCTACAGTGTTAATAATTAAAGGGAATAAACCCCTTTCAAATCTCACTTGAGAATAATTAAACAACTCACTTATAAAACCCCTCTTTTCTTTTCTCTCTCTCTCTCTAATCTTTTTCTTAATCTCTTCTTAAATCCCCATCAACCGAAGCTGGGGATTAAAATCGCTGCTGCGATTTGAGTGATGTAACGCTACCGCGTTTTGGGGAGAAAAATTCGGGGAAGAGGAGAGCCGCCGCCAGAGAGAGATCGGGGGGAGCAAGGAACACCGAAACCCTAGATCAAAGGGGGGGGTAGGGTCGCGTTCGCTCCCAAACGAGGGTCGCGTTCGTCGTGGCCGAGGGTCGCGTTCGCTCCCAAACGAGGGTCGCGTTCGTCGTGGCCGAGGGTCGCGTTCGCTCCCAAACGAGGGTCGCGTTCGTCGTGGCCGAGGGTCGCGTTTTCCATGCTTTGGACCTCGAGCTCGCCTGCATCGCCTTCGAGCTCGTCGGAGCTCGTCGGAGCTTCGCCGGAGCTCCTCACCGCAATTGAGGTGAGTTTGGTCTACACCCAAACTAACAATCTCCCACTTGGAGACCAAACCGCCGTCAGTAGGCTATCCCATCAAGCTCCTCTCCTGTGTGGCTCCGCCCTCATCATCTATGCATGAAGGCCAACTGAAGTTGCGCACAACTCCAGTTTCTGAACTGTCACCGTCTTTGTTAACATGTCTGCTGGATTCTTACTTCCTGGAATCTTTTCCAGTTTCAACACGTCATCTTCCAACAGGGATCTGATGAAGTAGTACCGAAGCGCAATATGCTTCGTTCTAGAATGAAATGCGAAATTCTTCGCCAAGTGTATCGCACTCTGGCTATCACTGTGCAAAACATTCTTTTCCTGTTTGAATCCCAGCTCTGTCAATAAGCCCTGAAGCCATATCATCTCTTTACTGGCTTCAGTCACTGCAACATACTCAGCTTCTGTAGTGGATAGGGTAACGATCTTCTGTACCTGTGACATCCAACTAACAGCTGTAGTTCCGACGGTGAATACATAGCCGGTGGTGCTTCTTCGGTGATCAACTTCACCTCCAAAGTCTGCATCTACGTACCCTTGCACTTCTACCTCTCCCTTACCAAAGTGCAAACACTTCTGTGTGGTGCCTCATAGATATCTCAGAATCCACTTGACCGCTTCCCAATGAGCTTTTCCTGGATTCGACATAAACCGGCTGACCACTCCCACTGCATGGCCAATGTCTGGTCTCGTACAGACCATAGCGTACATCAAGCTTCCGATAGCTGAGGCGTAAGGTACCTGAGCCATACTCTCTTTCTCTTCTTCTGACCGAGGAGACTGATCCTTCGACAGACGAAAATGGCTAGCCAAGGGTGTGCTCACAGGCTTGGCATCGCCCATGTTGAATCTCTGCAAAACACGGTTGATGTACTCCGTCTGAGATAACTGCAAGAGACCTCTCTTCTTATCTCTCGTGATTTGCATTCCAAGGATCTTCTTCGCTGGACCCAAGTCCTTCATGTCAAACTCTTTTGACAGCTGCTGCTTCAAACTCTTGATATCTTTCATATCTGCTCCTGCAACCAACATATCATCAACATACAGCAGTAGGATGATATAGCTGGACTGATATCTTTTGAAGTAGCAACAGTGGTCGGCGTTGCACTTCTGGAAACCTTCCTTGTGCATAAAGCCGTCAAACTTTCTGTACCACTGCCTTGGGGCTTGTTTCAGGCCATACAAGCTCTTCTTGAGTCTGCACACCAGGTTCTTCTTCTTTTCTTCTGAGAAACCTTCTGGCTGGTGCATGTATATCTCCTCTTCTAGATCTCCGTGAAGAAACGCCGTCTTCACGTCTAACTGCTCGAGATGAAGATCTTCAATTGCTACAATACTCATCACGGTCCTGATAGTATTTAGCTTCACCACGGGAGCGAAAATATCGGTGTAGTCAATTCCTTCCTTCTGCTGGAAACCTTTGACAACCAGTCGGGCTTTATATCTTCTGGAACCATCCTGCTCCTCTTTCACCCGGTACACCCATTTGTTGTGGAGTGCCTTCTTACCCGTGGGCAACTCAGCTAGTTCCCACGTCTGGTTTGATATGAGAGACTTCATCTCATCTTTCATTGCAAGCTCCCACTTGCTCGCATCTCCACACTGACAAGCTTCATCAAAGCTTTCAGGCTCCCCACCATCTGTCAACAACAGATAGTTCATGTATCTCCTGTTGGGTACAGGAGGACGAGAAGATCTTCTTAATATCGGAGCTGGTGCGTCGGGCTCCTGCGCACCATCTTGTCCAACAGGCTCTTCTTGCTGAGGACCCTCTGCATTGGGTTCTTCCGAGAGGTTACTCGGGACATCATCTGCATCTATAAATGTGGACTCGCTCTCTGAGTCGTCAGTCTTGTGCATGTCCTTGTACATCACCTTCTCGTTGAATATCACATCTCTGCTCCGGATCACCTTCTTGTTTTCGTTGTCCCAAATGCGGTAGCCGAACTCATCTTCACCATAGCCGATGAAAGTGCATTTCTTTGACTTGGGATCAAGCTTATTCCTGCCTTGATCACTAATATGCACGTAAGCTACACAACCGAAAACTTTAAGATGTGAGAGTTTTACCTCCTTTCCGCACCATACCTCCTCTGGTATTCTGTGCTCCAATGGAACCGATGGACCTCGGTTGATCAAGTAAGCTGCTGTGTTGACCGCTTCTGCCCAGAACTGCTTCGGTAGGCCTGATTGTACTCGAATGCTTCTGGCTCTCTCCATCAACGTTCGGTTCATTCGCTCAGCTACACCATTTTGCTGAGGCGTGCCTGGCACGGTTCTCTCCATTCTGATCCCGTGCACATAGCAGAACTTCTTGAATCCGGTGTCTTCATACTCACCACCATTGTTGGTCCTGAGCTTCTTTATTCTCAGACCGGTCTCATTCTCGACCATAGCTTTCCATCTCCTGAAAGTTTCAAATACTTTTGACTTATGCTTCAGAAAGTAGACCCACACTTTCCGAGAGTGATCGTCGATAAAAGTCACGAAGTAGTGTTTTCTACCAATGGACGCGGTGGTTGTTGGTCCCCACACATCTGAGTGAATGAGCTCTAGCTTCTGCTTCCTGGGGGTTCTACCACTTGTCTGAAAACTGACTCTCTTCTACTTTCCAAGTATACATTCTTCACACATATCCATCTCCACTGACTGCAGTCCTGGGAGTTTCCCTTTTGTGTGCATGATTTTCATCCCCTTCTCACTCATATGACCGAGTCTCTGGTGCCACAGCTTTGAAGTCTCATTGCCTGCTGCAACTGAGATCAAACAACGTGCACCTGCTGTCATATACAGGGTACCAGTCTTCTTGCCTCGGGCAATTATCATTGCGCCCTTTGAGATCTTCCAATCATCTCCATGGAAGGTTGTGGTGTATCCTTCGCCAGCCAACTGGCCTACGGATATTAAATTCTTTCTCAGGTCGGGAATATGCCTGACATCCTTCAGCTCCCATACTGACCCGTTCAACTTAATTTTCACCACGCCTTTGCCCACTATAGCACACGGTTGATCATCACCAAGATATACGTATCCAAGTTTTCCGGGGGTATACTTCTCAAAGAATTCTTTCTGAGAGGTAGCATGGAACGACGCTCCTGAAT